ACTTGGTAGCCCAGGCTGGCCTCGAACTCACAGAGATCCGCCTGCCTCTGCCTCCCGAGTGCTGGGATTAAAGGCGTGCGCCACCACCGCCCGGCGACTTTTTTATTTTTAAGATTTTATTTTTGTTCTTAATTGTGTGCCTCTCTGTGGATTTGTGCATGTGAGTGCTTGCAGGGTGGGGGTAGGGGTGTGAAGCAGAAGAGGAAGTCCGATCCTCTGGAGCTGGAGTTAGAGGTGCTTGTGAGGAACCTCACGTCCTTCTGCAAGAGCAGTAGCGCGTTCAAGGGCTGAGCTATTCCTTGCTTTCTCTCTTTCTCTCTGCCTCTCTGTCTCTGTCTCTCCCTCTTCTCTCCCTTTTTTTTTTTTTTCTGATGGGCTCTTACTGGCCACATCCCTGGCTCAGCCTCCCCAGTACTGAAATCAAGGGGCCCAGGTGTGCCAGCACAATGGGGCCCTCTTACCTGCTTCTCCAGGAAGCATCATCACGCCTCTCCCTTCCCATCCCTTGCCTAAGCCTGGGGTAGGACTCCCAGAGACTCTTCAGGCCTCTTCCCTGGTGTCCGGATTGTCTGACCCTCTCCCCCAGCCTCTGTGTTCACCTCCCAAACCCCCTGTGATGATAATCGATTTGTCATATAGCACTTTCAAGCACCCCCTGTGTATCCATGAACCCATTTTACCCCCAGTGCCGCAGAGCTCTGTGAGGTAGCTGAGGTGTAGTGAGTTTAAGCTGGCCACATTTCACTCAGTGTGACTGTACAGCAGGGTGAAGGATCCAAATGCCATCTCTGCAGGAGCAGGGTCTATGTGGACCAGGGTTGACTCCCTCACTGCTGAGGCTTCCCCAGCCTGGATCTCTCCTCTGACTCCTGAAGCCAGCAGTCTCCTGGGTCCTATCACCTCCTGCTGGCTATTTAAAGCCAACAAACCCCAAGTTGGAGCCACCCTGGATTTCCCGACACCCACCAAAGGTCTCCCTAATCTTACAAGTGGGAACTTGTGATTTATTAAACTTGGCTAAAAATAGACTGAAAACGTCCATTTCTTACTTCCAGGGGACTCAAGTTCAGCGTGCCTGGCGAGATGAGTACTTCCAGATCAAATCTCCAGTCATCAGGCAGAGAACCACATGCTACCTAAACCTGAGACTCAGGGAATGAGCTGGCCAGGCAGAGCTTGCCTTTATGTGTTTGTAGGCATGTGTCTTTGTGAGTGTGTGTTTGTGGTTTTTGCACAGGGCATATCATGTTCAAGGGCACTCTCTGTAAGAAACCTGACACACACGCATATGCAATCCCAAGTAAGTCTTCAGAGAATGGCTTGTGACTGTATGGTGTGCTCTGAGAGGCTTTATTGTGCTCTGGCGAGCTGTGGGCGTAGGCTGCGGTTTGCAAGCCACGGCTCTCATGTGCTTGTCGACTTCGTCCTCCAGCCTCTCCTCCGTGGGACTGTTTACAGGGCTCTCAACCTGCTTATGCCACTTGATTTGTGACCATAATCAGGAAATGCATGTAATGAATCAGACGGAGGAAGAGAGAGTGGTTTCTATGAAGAAGGAGTTCAAGTGAGGGAATGTCTCAATGAAGATGAAACCCTGGGAAGTGGATCTCTCAAACAGTGTTTCGCCACATTCATCTCCTCAGCACCTGCCACAGGGCCTGGTGTGTCACGGCATTCATAATAATAGCTTATATTTTCTGAGCCTTTACCACGTGTCAGACACTCAGCTAAGTGCATCGACATGTTTCCTCTTCAGTTCTCCCTGCAGCTCTAGGAAGTGGGATCTATTTTTATTCTCATTACTGATGACGAAACTGGAGATTCAGACAGGCGAGACCCTGGGTCTCTGACTCTGAGCTCTGTGTTCCTCTCTTGAGGTCACGCATCTTTGCTAAGCATCTGGTGTGTGTGTGTGTGTGTGTGTGTGTGTGTGTGTGTGTGTGTGTGTGTGTGTGTATGCATGTGTGTAGAGAGTATTCTCAATGCTTGCAGCTCTCTCCTCTTTTGCCACTCGGAGACACAACTGGCAGATCAGGTTAATGAAGGGAAGTCTCCATGGCAACGAAAGAAGGCAGAAGAAGTATTTTCTTCTGAATGGGAAGCTGCTTCCTTCAGCCTTGCGTGGAGAGTGGCTGGAGGGGGGCTCCACACAGGCATAGCTCTTTGATGGGTGGTGGGTGCAGGGTCTCCTGCTCCACCGGAGGAGGACAATGTAGCGGGTATCACAAGTGGGGCTCAGCTCCACCCTTTCCTCTGCCGAGGAGGGAGGAAGAGGAAGGGTGCTCCAGCAGCGCCCTCCCCCCACCAGCTTCCTCTCCATCCACAAAGCTTTCACTAGTTATCCCTACCCCTGGGGTGATCACATCTCAGAGAAAAAACTGACACCCAACAGTTACTATGTGCAGAATGCCATGGACATGAAGAGCCAGGGGCCGTGGGAAGTGAAAAGAACACAGGGACTTTACTGGGGTTGGAGGTTGGGTGGCTTTCCCAAATATGTGACATTCTAGCTGAGGCACTGGGTGGAGAGTGATGTCAGGAACCTTGGCACATTCCAGGACTGACTGGACTAAGGCTGAGAGAAGCGGAGGACATGGCCAGGGTGGGGGGCCAGGAGCAGAGGCCCAGGTTATGGCAGGAGCTTAGAATAGATTTGGGGTGGGAAGTCAGCTGGCTTTGAAGAGAGGAGCAGGTGACCGGGACTGTAGTTCAATAAAGGCTTTGGAAAGATTAGAGGCTGTGGCCTGAACAGGCAATGGACCACCCCCCTTAGCAGTGAAGCCTGTTCCCCAGAGTCCCTCTGCCCCTTCCCTTTGCTCTGCACCTTTTGACTCTCTGCAAAGGACAATGTGAAAACAGTAGCAACGTGGAGGCATTGTGAAAAGGAGCAGAGCTAGGTCCTTTCCTCCCACTGTGCACCTGAGCAGGACAGAGAAATGTTCCAAGGAGAAACTGTGTTATAAAGAGTCATTATAGAGCAAGACCCTCCTCCTTGCCAGGGGAGAATACCACAGGGAGCTCAGAGTCAGTGCCTGGCCCTGGCCTATACACTCCTCCCACTACATGGTCATGACGATCACTTTGACTCTCCATTCTACCTCCTCAGCACACATGCTCCTCTAGGCTGCCATGTGGCTGGAGAAAGATGGGAGAGAAGAGGAAAAGACCTCTGCTCCTTCAGTCTTACCTCCTCTCCAACACTGGGATGGAAGCAAGTACTGAGTTGGGGAGCTGGCGCTCAGGGAGGACTTTCTAGAATTCCAGGTTTCATCCTCTGTATCTGACCAGTTGGCCTAGGTCTGTTGTCCTTTAGGGCAAAGGCTCCTCATAGAAATCAAGACTTTTGAGGTTGCTGGATATAGGGAGCCCCAGGACCTTGGCCTTCCTGGAGAAGGGAATTGAGGAAAAGTAGATTAGAGACGCCCAAGGCCATGAGGCCATTAACTTTTATGTAGGAAGTTCTGGTTGTCTTTTAGCCTAGTAATAATGTCTCCTTGTGGCAAGGTCAGTGTTCTCTCTCTTGGCCACAAGTCAACGTCCTGAAGAGACTGGTTTTGTGATGCCCAGAATCCTGTATCAGCCTTAAGACATTGGAGGGAAGCATGAGAATTTGAGCTGGTCACAAGGTGGCGCCAAACACCAAGTCTTCACATCACATTTTTTTCTTCTATTCCCCCAAGGGGGTCCCCGGGGCTCGTATAATAAGCTCTGTCTGTCTCACTGGACTCAGTACTGAGACCCGCCAGACTTTAGAGAGGAGGAAGAAGCTCAGTACTAGAAATGCCTCAATTTTCCCCCAGAACTGTTCCAATCTTTTGAAATTACTCCAAGGCCGGAACCCGCTACTGCCCTCTGGCCGCTTCTCCCAGCTCCCCGGAGGGAAACGGAAGTGCTAAGAGACAGAGACTGGGCAAGGTCAACACTGCTGGCACAGGAGGGGCAATGGTGGCTTGGGGTCTCCACTCCGTCCCCCCTCGGATGGCCCCAGGTCTCTCCTGCTGCCTTCCTCCTCCACTCCCTCCTCGAAGAAACATCCGCCGACCTCTTTTGTTGAGGAGGAACAAAAGCAAAGCCTGATGTAGTCACTGTGGGTGCCCGACAGGGGGTTTGTGTCCACTGAGGGATCCTGAGTAAAGTGGAAGGCGACGGGAGTCTGTAGTGGTCAGATGCCCCACCTTCCTTCTGTCTTCCCTCCCTGCCGGGAAATCCTCTGGGTGTCCTCCCCTCTGGTGGGATTATCCAGGCCGGCACAGGCCTCTAACTGGGTAATCAGCCACATGACTGTTCCCTGCTTTGCTAGGATTATCTAGGCCTGCGCAGCCCTCTTCCATACCTGCAGCATGGACATCTCTCTACTCCTCAATGTGGAGGGTGTCAAAAAGACCATTCTGCATGGGGGAACGGGAGAACTCCCTAACTTCATCACTGGCTCCCGAGTGAGTATCCTTCCCCGAGACAGGGTCCCTGTGGTCCCTTTCTGAGTTCCAGCTGTGCCCAGGGCATTGAAAATAGCTTT